ACATTGAAACAAACAGCAAAAGTGAGGGTGCATTTTATTTCCCTGTTCAAGTAAGTTCAAATTGTGGACGTCTATTAAAAGTTTACAGTTGTTCAATAGTAAGGTCCGCAATTTAAATCACCAAAATTCAAACTTATCACAATATCAAACTTAACAGGCACGTCAGATATAAGCCATAAAATGTCAACATACCAGTACAGCCCAGTTGACAAACAGTAGGTTGATCTGGGATGACCCCCCTCCCCCTCCCCCTCCCCGTAACTTCGCAATAAGCCAAGCTGTAGCACAAAGGCCTCCTCGGCTCTTACTCTCTATCATTTCTCCTCTCTCAATTGCTCAAGTAACAAGGCAAAAGAAAAAATTTTGTTTGTCTTGCAAACAGATGCACTCTTAAGAGACCGTACGAACTGGTTGGACAACAAACAGGCGAAAAACCTTATCGGTAACTGGGGGAAGATAAATGCCAGGTCCACCTGATGAATGATGTCGCTACTGTTTCACAAACACAAATAATGTGAGAAGACTGCAGGCTTTCCTTGCTTTTTCTGCATAGAATAATAACATTCTGATTTTCAATTTTGACCAAACAGGAGATACAAATAAACTAAGTTTGTTCTTTCTTTGTGTTTGACTTTGGCTTGAGTCAGTTAGAACACTGAAGTTGTCTGGCACAAAAAAAAAAAAAATGCATTAAAAAATACAAATTGGGGGAAAAAAAGATGCTAATAGTAAATTGTAGAAAACGTGATGATGCAAAGACGTTGAGAGCGAGTAATACAGAGCCCAATTGGGACTTGTACAGTTTTGCAGGTAGTTCAGCATACAGGCGAAAATTTCAAAGGAAAGTTCTGTGAAAACAGGAATTCAGAAGCCCATTATAAACGGAGCAACAACAAGATCAAGGCAAAGTTGCTCAGCATCAGCGAATCACAGTAGCCAATGTTGCCTCTCTTTTTATTTTTACAAGCGCTTTTATTATTTTATTACAATTTATGTGATAAGCCAAACTAAAGAAAAAAAAAGAACAGCAACATGAGTAGTTTTGCTCGGTATTTTATTGTTTTTCCTTTTTTTAAAGCTGTCGACGAGTCACTGATGGTGTAGTGGTACACTTGCCTGCCTTGTGTGCAAGCAACGTGGGATCAGTTCCCACTCAGTGACAGTGTGGATGTGGGTGTGAATGATTGTTCGTTTCTATATGTGCCCTGTGACTGACTGGCAACCAGTTCAAGGTGTAGTCCACCTTTTTGCCCCAAGTCAGCTGGGAAAGGCTCTAGCACCCTCCCGCGACCTGTTCAAGATCAGCGGTCTTCTGAAAATGGATGGATGGATGGATGGATGGATGGATGGATGGATGGATGGATGGATGGATGGATGGATGGACGGCTTTACCTACCAACAACCACAGAGAAGGTGACACATATATTAAAAAAAAAAAGAGTAATTCAAACTGCCATCTGGATATTGCTGTGTTCTATTTCAGAATTGATCAACATATTCAGATGAAATACAGTTGAAAGAGGCTTGTTTTTATCATTCAGCGATATAACATTGAATATTAGATGTACGAATGCTAATATAAAAGAGACTCTGGCACACAGTCACATCTCCATGGGTGCCCTGACGGTGTAGAGAATGTCGAGCTCGAGTGGCGAGGTTGCACTGAATTGGCATGACGGGTCACAATGCAGTTCCAATTTCAACCTCCTCTACGTTCACTTTCATCTCGGGTTGGGTGGGAATGACACCGCTTTAAGAGTCCCTTCAGCTTTCGTCACATTCACATCCACTTCTCGCTGTTTCTAATCAGCCTGTCTCTCCACAACCCATCACAAGACAGCAGCATGCTGTCCATCCAAAGGAAACCCTCCCTTCTCCAGTCCTCCCTCCCATTCTTCACTTGTCCCTGTCCTAGTGCTCTCTCCTTCTCCTTCCTACCCACACACTCATTCACTATTCATATTTTAGAGGACATTTGTGAGCATGGAAACAAGTGAGTGCATCGGCACCATTTTCGGCACAGAGGAAACCTACATTTTCTCTTCTCGCCTTGCTCTTCCTTATCTAACAAAGCCAGATTTTGGTTTTGGTTTACCACTGCTCATCTTTTTTTAGACTGAAAGCCATGTGCCACTCACTCCTACTCTCCCTCTGCCTCTTTCTCCATCTTTTTCTCCCACCGCCACCCACTCAATCCTTTTCACCTCCTTCCTCTCCATTTTCTCGTGTTTCAGGCGATGCATTAGTGTTTGCATGTGCCTGCTTGTGTATACGGATGCTTGCCAGTGCTGGGGTGCAAACGTGAACCGCCAACCTGTCTGTAGCGGTCAACCACAAACCATGTGAAATCATGTGTATCTGGTCAGATACTGGAAATGTGCCGACACAAGGACTGCAGCCACGGATTTTTTTGCATTGAACATCATAAACAAGCATAACATGTAATATAACTTCATTGAAAAGGAGCTAATTGTGACTTGGCTCCAAAACCACATGACTTTCTGCAAGGCCCACTGGGCAGGGTGGGGTCACACACTTGCAACTCACATCCACAGAGCGACACTGTACCACAACTCGTACCATAGAGCTGTAGTCATCTGACATGGTATGACTTGCACTGTGAACTATGACAATGTTCTCACCTTTTATGCATGGTAATGCAAACAGATCCTTAAGAGATACTAACCACTTAATTGAACCAGTGGATCCACAATTGAAAAACAAACATTAGCCCCAATGAGTAAGTTTAATGTAATTTTCCATCGTGTTAACCAATCAAGAAACTCTCAGTGCAGCCAGTAAATGACCGATAACATCATTTATCCATCATTGTAACAACAGGAGCAGCTCTCACTGTACAGTTATCTAATCGAGAAAAATCTAACAGTACATTTCCTTCCCCCTAATAAAAGACAATAAAACTTAAGTTAAGGGAACAACACAGCATGATGTTAATAACAGTGCCGTCACGTATTTGCGGGTATTTAAAATCCTTTAGTGGACGAAACCACTTATCAATGACAAATGTCAAGGGTTTTCAGGAAGATTAAGTTGTTGCTACCCTTTGCGTACCAACACAAATATTAAACTGTTGTAAATCTTCGGATTGACCAACGAACTGCGAGATCTGCAATAAATACTCCCTCTCTCTTCCTGGATTACTTTGTATACATCTGTTGTGTTCCTGTCAAAATAGCAAAACAAAATAGCATGAATGTGATATTTCATGAAGAAAATATACAAATACACCATGAGAATAAACCGAATGCCGCTGCTTTTACTTTTTTGCACCCTTTTCATTGTGGTACCAGCCACAGTGGTACAACGTACATGGTAGAGCTACACTCAGTGCAGTCTGAAAATAGTTCTCTCTTTAGGGGTACTTGTCATGTTTAAACGGAACCTTGATAAACATACTTGAAATGGTCTTACAATGAAAACTAACCAGAAAATCCATTTACAGGTTAATGGATAGTATACATGTACTCCTTTTCAAAAGTGAGCAAGATGGAGCAAAGCGAAGAGTTGCATCAGGGTATCAAAATAAAGAGTTAATGACTTTCTTAAATATGCACCGTTTTTCCAAACAGAGACATATTTGTCGAGTCACCCTGGAGATGGCCACTTTCCTCAAGGGTTGAAGACTGTGGTTACAGCATTGAACAAAGTGTACACACACTATTCGGACCTAAATGGCAGGGGAATAGCTTGAGAGCATCAATCTGCTAAAGAATTGACACTTTGCTTCTTCATGCGTTCAAAGTATATACAGTATCTGAAATGGTCAACTTACAAAGGAAATTTTGAATCCTGCCATTCTTCTCATCTGATGTTGGAAACTATCCTCCTGGAGGGGTATTTGTAAATGCCGGAGTGGTTCATTGTGTTGTACATATCAGAGTTTGTATGAATACAAACGGTTTGAGTTTGCGTATGTAACATTCAAGTGTGTTTCATGCACATCTAATTATAAAAGATACTTGAGAGACACAAATACAAAACTGTGAATTTGTGCCCATTAGAAAATTAATGAGTAAATGAACAATCAATGTCTCAAAGTTCTTTCACGAATTACTGTGCACTGTGGTACACTAAAACCAGGGGGAGTTTCAAACATGTGTCCGGTGGGCCAATTAAGGCCCGATGCATGCAATTTTGTGGCCTCACTCCTACTTGACAAAGTTTAGTGATCATGTAGGCTGCATGATTTGGCAAATACACCATTTTGCTGAGTCACTGTGCGAATCGGTTCCCTGGGCAGCATGTACAGTATTTTAGCACTTACTGTATGGACCATAGCTGAGGCTTACGACAACTTCTGATGATTTTGTCAAAAGGTTAGCCAATGCAAATTGAATATGTTAGTCACTTGGTTGAAATGTGATTCTGAAGTGACACTATGAGGAAAGAAAATATATCTATAAACCCAGCCCCAGTCATGTTTTTCTCAAAAACCTGCCGAGAAGGGAAAGGTTGGCATAGGCATGAGAAGCTCTTAACAGCAGGTTTATTTTCTGAACTGTTTTTGATAGATTGAAAAGGTTGGATCTGTATTCTTTTTTTTTTGGGGGGGGGGGGGTCAAATATTTGATGCAGTCCAGCCGACCCCAGGTTTCGTGAGTTTAAGTCCCCTTCTATCAACAAAACAGTGACCCGTTAGTGGAGTGATCATTAAGACAGTGACATTCTCTGCTCCATGTTATATACAGCAATTTTTAAGCAATGCGATTTTGTAATTGAGGGGAAGAATTCAGGCGCGAGTATCCGCGTGCGTGCGTGCGTGTCAGCATCCAACAAACACGTGTATGATCACAAGCCGTCGCGTTGCAGTGATGATGCCATCCTGCGGGCCTAGCTAATTGTGATGTGGCCTACTAATATGTTCTAAATAAATAGTAAAATAATAAGATGGGCTATCCGACTGATAGGCCAAATCGCGGACAGAAAAGGTGGATGTCGGTTTACTTAGGCGTGTTCGTCCGATAACCGCTACTTCTCACCTGAATTTTGACGCTGCCTTGCCACGAACCACTGCATCTGGTCTGCTTGCTCGCCCATATCCCCCCGACTGGAGACAAGCCTCGTTCGACTCGTTCTCCCCGACACCGACTCAAAGATGCGGGAGGAAGGGGAAAGTCAGCAAACGCCTCAGTGAAAGGTTTTATGACAACCGACCAGCTGTCACTCGAGCTCATAGATGAATGCAACTGGAAACGTCAAGTAATTGGGTCGAGGGGATCTGCAGCCGTCTTCAGTGTTGATTGTCAGAGCAACACGTCTTCGGCTGTGGCAGGTCACTCGCCGCGGCTCCTTTTCCGTTCTCCTCCAGCCCAGCTAGGAATGGTTGAGATAGAATCCACGGAACAAGACATTCGCAAAAGGATGAACCCGTGTCACGTTGTACTCAGTGGCGACTAAGTGCTACCGGTCGCGGGACAACTCCCGAACCCCAGCAACGACAGCAGGCAAAATAAGGCAGCATTCCACGAGAAGCGGGCGCTTCCCCCGGCCCATAAATATCTACATTGAATTACGTACGAGGATGCAATCCCCCTTCCGCGTTCCGCTGCGCATATCACGTATGGCGTTTTGATTACGCATACCTGACTGGGTTCTTATACGGAAGGCACTCGTGAAATATTGCAGAGAAAGGGCGCCACTTGTGGTTTGTGAATATCAAGAAGTCCGCTACTGCTCCAAAGATGAAACAGGTTGGGCAAGATGTGTACCATCCAAGAGAGCGCGCATTCACACCAAGGAAATATTGGAACGTTGTTTTTTTTTTTGTCTCATAAACTTATTGATTTACAATTAAACGCTATATCATAATCAAAAGAAACAGAGCCTCAATGACTTGATTTGCAAGCCAAGTCCGCGAGAACATTACAACGCAGCGAAACATTCATGTACTGTATCATGAAGAAACTCGAAAATAATTCTCTTGACACATAACCCTCCTTCGGTGCGACGTAATTTGGGCGTGGATCCCTGTCAAGTCATAAATACAATACAATACAATAGATTGTTATTTATAAAGCGCTTTCACCACAGCTGCAGCTGGAACAAAGCGCTTTACAGAACAGTTAACATAAAATAAAATACGGTAATATAACAACACACAAGACATTGGCTGTCATGCAACCGTAAGCACTATTACTGGAAGCGCATGAAAGACATTTCTTGGGATTTTGAAACATAGCAATTAGCAACCCAAAGCGGCAGTCGCGTTTTTTTGGGTGGTCGGAGAAAGGATATTGTGGTAATTTAAAAAATAAATAAATAAAACGGTCCGAAATCATGACCAGGTACCGAATATCGCCAGGTGACGATATTTGAAAGTTCGACAGCAAGAAGGGAAGAAAAATGCCATTAATTACCAGAGATACCTGTACATCAGGCTCATTTGCACCGCGACCACAGACGGCAACACACATTTCCTGAGGAAAAGTGAGGCGGGATTTATTAATTTCTGGTTTCCACTTGTGTCAAGCCACCTGAAGGAAAAAATATTACTATTTTTTAATACACTGCATATTTATTGTATGGCACCTTCACAGCATCTGCAGTTGCAAAAAAGTGTGTGAGAGCGAAGGCTTGTTTGCTGGTGTTTTGCAAGATGAAAATGTGATCAAAAGCTGTGACTTTTTGAAGGGGAAGTCAAGTAAAAAAATGTATTTACAATAATATGTTCTTTGCACCTCCTCTGGTCGAAACATTGCATTCTGATTAATATTGCATTTGTGGAATATGAATTCAGCAGCGATGTCCACTCATTTTTATCCATCTCAGGGGTGGCCATTTTGCCACTTGCTGCCTGAAAATAATGTCACAGTTGTGCAGGGCTCAGGTAATGACCAATCACAGCTCAGCTTGTGAACATGAGCAAAAACAGGTGGGTCTGCAATCTGCATAAAACGTATTGGCTATTTCCAAATATACAGGCTGGGTCCTCCATAGGCCGCAATTATGTGGGCTTGACATAACCTCCGGCGCGACTCGACCACACCTGGTGTCCAAATTCACATTAAGCCTGTCCAGTTTCAACACAGTTTATGCAGCTCATGGAGGCTAGATAAGGAGGAGCCTTTGAAGGCCTTGCAGGACCCAGCCTATGAATTGGTTTTTGAGAATTTGGATAACATGTGCGGTCGTTTTGTGCAGGAAGTGACGTCATCCGGCTGAAAAATGCGGCCTGTGAATTTGGACACAGCCATTGTGAAGAACATTTCTGACTTGACTTCCCTTTTAAAGACAAAGGCATAGCAACCTCCGTGGTGTGCTGCCCGTTATGTTCTGCAATTAAACTCTTTTTATTGAAACACTCTTTCCAGTGATCTGGTACTACAAAGAAGATGGAAAGTTAATATATTTGCCCTGAAAATTTCACCATGGCAACAATGAATCGACTATGGTTGAAGCCCCTTCTGTCGCTCCCCCTCTGTCCCCACTCAGCTCCCAGCGAGCAAGGCGTTGCTGTCAGCTGCTGTTGGCAAGAAGCTGTGGTCACGGGATCGAAAAATCTCTTGACCCATTGGAACATTGACATCAATATGCTCATCCCAGCAGTTTGGGTTATATGCCTTTTATTATTATTATTTTATTGTTCAGAATTTTTTTTTGTGTTTTCATATCCTCAATTTTGTTGCATCTGCTGCACCATACAGTGACAGTACAAGCTTTTCATTCTGTTTTTGTTCACTCTTTCTGTACAGCCCTTTGTGACAGTTGTGGTTGTTTTTGAGGTCTCAAAACAAAGTTGGTCACAACTTGCCAGTCTAAACCAGGCCTATTCAGGATAAACGGGACAATCCAAACCAGGCTGATCTCAGACCAGCCAGGCCAAATCAGACTAGCCCAACCCAGTCCGGGCTAAATGGGCCCAAAATTGGCCAAACAAGCCAAGCCATACTAAACCAGGCCAAACCAGGCTAAATGGGCCAATAAATAGGTAAAAGCAGGTTTATATTTTGCATTAACCGTGCCTTTCTGTTCTATTGCCATGCCTTCCCATATAATGTGACAGGTGCATGAACATGCACAGCTCAGCTACTGGGATAATTTATCTCTTAAGTCTTATTATTTCTATTCTGTATGAAGTGTGATATTTGTTTGAATAATATACATTTCCTTAATGTTAATTTGATATTTCAGTGTCTGCAATCCGACATACTGTCTCAATAAAAAAAATCAACTCAACACCATGAGCCTGTATCCTGTAATATGAACGAAGCGCCATCCTTTGTACTGTACTTCCTATCGATCAAGTCAACAGTCCCCCCCATTGCCCCCTCTACCCCGCCCATTGCCCCCTCTAAAATTTCTGACATAAAAGTAAAAATTTTGCCAACCATGTTTTTTTCTTCCTTGTTCCTAATTAATCAAATAAACACAGGCTACATTTTCATGTTACTAAACATTTTTGACCGTCCGTGGCAAATTTGTACGGAAGAGGATGAGACAAAAGTGAGAATTTTGCCATCCTTGTTTGTTTTCTTCATTGGCCCTAATCCTCTTCCGTAGTTGTGCTATTAGTTTTGTGACAAAATATCGACTAAACATGTTCGTCTTTTATGTGAGGGTGTTGAGACAGCCTTCTAACCTGGGAATTGTTGTAAGGATGTCCACTCTTTATAAATCTGAATACCAGCCACATTTGTGTTATGGTATTGCATACAAAAATTGTGGCATCTGTTTATTTATTCGATTTACAACTAAAAGAGAGAATCAGTTCAAGAAAGGAGTCCCCCAATCTTTTGTGCCAGATGGTACATCCCGGTTTTGCTTCCATTCTCCTCCCTTCTGCCTTCAGTGCCCTCCATCTCCCTGTGTTCTGTCATTTTCTTATATTAAGGGCATTGTGACATCCAGTGTCTGCTGTGAACCTTCCATTTCTCAGTTATTCTCATAATTACTGTGAAGCAGCAGGAGAGGTACGTAATGCCCATTTTGTTTTATTAGAAAGAACCATATGTTAACATGTATTTTTGTAAAACATCTCCAATCTGTTTGCAAGTGCAAGCTTCGTTCCTTTTCAGTTAATGTATATTGATGTTTGTTCAGTGAGCTCTTTGTAACTTTCACTGATAGCTCAGCAACCATGCCATATTTTTCATCTCTCTCTTGTCCTCCATATATAGGCCCTATGACTCATGAAGTTTGACACATTCAAAAAAGGATCTGCATTGCATCTGAGTTAGATTTCATCATAGTGCACCAAATAAATGTTCAGCCAGCGATGAGGAATAGGTTCTGCAGAGCTGCAACAGTATTCACCAATGCTAGTTATCCTGGTAGCTATGGTTTTGAAAAGAAGGCAGTAGTGACACAATTTGAATTCATAGCTGCTTTGACCAAAATGCTAACAATGTATTTCACCTCATAATGTGCCTATCACGGTGATAGTTCTTCAAGGTCATATTTAATGCCCTCTTACCACAGGGCTACCAATGCTTTACAGTGATTATGACTTTAAAGGTGTGTTTATATCTCTGTTTCCTCATTTATCAGATATCATGTGAAGTCTGAGCCCACATTAGCGGGCGTTATCTACCTGTGTCTGTTTGCTATTTTTACTTAGTGAAGCATCATCGAGCTAGCAGCAGCACAGACAAGCCCACACTTCTGTCCCAGAATCCATGGAAGCCAAGGCTAAGTCAGCTCCTGTGCCCAAAGGGCCATCGAAAGCAGAGAAAAAGGAGCCAGCAGGCCCACGTAAAGCTGAACCTGCTCCTGCAACTCCAGAGCCAGAGATCCCTCCTCCCCAGGATGGGTCGGCAGAAGGTGATGCAGGTGATGGGGCTGCGGGCAGCTGCAGAGACTCTCTGGAGCACCTGAAACCTTTCCTCATTGGTGGTGCTGTAATTGCAGTTGGAGCCATTTTGCTCGGGGCGATGCTACTGGCAAGAAGAAATTAAAATGATAATCTCTAAGATTTAACTCAATGTAAAATTGGTTCACAAATAATCATGGTTGATATTGAAGATGGGGAGTTGCTTTCTTTTTGGCTAGCTAACATAAATATAAATATAACAACTCAAAAAACTGTATAAAGCTTTATTAAAAAACATTTGCATGCATTATAATTTACAATCTGTTAAAACTACACCATAATGCTGAACATACAAGACAAAATTCTTCAATGTTGCGTTTATATCTGTTTTATATTATTTACTCAAACATTGACAGAAACAAACAGTATTTGCACCATATATGACCTACGTTTCAAATCCCAAAGAGCTCCTGGAGTGAAAAGTGATATAATTCAATTATCATGCATTCAAGGGTTTCCTTTTCTTTTATTTGAAAGTAAAAAGGTCATGATTTTGAATCATTTGACAAATGAGTAAGGTTTAATTCAGAATGCTGCGGTTCATGAACGGCATCTGGGAGAATATTTTCGTGACTGTGTACACAGCAGACTAGTGTTGAAATGTTATTTCTTGAAGTAGATTGTAGAATCAGAATGATTTTTACGTTAGTATCAAATGATGTGACAAATCTATAGTCTTTCATGTATAAAACAACATCTGCAAATGTTCCGCATCAATATGTCCACTTCTGATCGTAAATACTTCATTGTAGACTGGCAGACCAGTCATTAGTGGTCTGGTATCAAGTTGAATCAGGCTTCATTGCACTGTGCTTTGCTCCATGTGTATTCCATCAAGTACAACCCTTGTTTGCAGTACCTTATTAATAACTTAAGTATAGCTAGGCACTTTAGAGTGCTCATGTAAAGGAAGTGGATTAGTCAAGCAGTCATTATTTCATGTCTGCACACATTGCACCCTTACATGTGTTCCCAGCATTGTCTATTCACACAGAAATGGCCCTGTTTAAAAAGAACTCACCACTTTTCTCTGGTTGCAAGTCAACATGTTTGCAACATATTAGTCATAATAAATGTTGTATGTGTGTACATTGATGCATTCTGCACCCTTAACACATCCAAACAATACAATGCCAAAACTGGAACTAACTTCACCTGACATTGTATAAATCAGTGTACCAAAAGAAGTATTCTTTGAAATAACTCAATAACAGCAGCGTATAAATGCAATAATTCAGGTAGCAGTCCTTAGTTAGCACATTATGTTGTGCTGTAGCAAGTTATTTCACATAAATGATGATGATGTAATAGGTCAAGTATGATGTTTAATCAAATGACAATGATGTTAGAGGTGATAGAAAGTATGCATTTATGGTGGCTGTAATCATGGTTATGGTATATTTTTGATATATTAAAAAGCTGGGGTACGACCCTCTCCCCCTAATGTACACAAAGAATGTGGTTGTGATGCAACCTTTATTAAAGGCAGTGAACCAACTCCAAACTATTGTTTGTTTTCTCTGAGATTTATTGCAAAGCTTTATTCAAGATTGTTGCTTGTTTCTTTACCTTAAAGAGGAAGTAAGGACCAAAAATCTCTTTACAGTATGTTCCATGTGCTTCCATTGGTCTACTTGCAAACATCACAAGACCAAACAAATGAGCTGTTACCTGATCTCTTAGGCATTGTAATGTCATTCTCAGTCGGCAGCAAGGCAGTACAAAGTAAATTGGCAGCTCCTTGAGAATGATAAAAAAGTGTGGATTTTACTGCTTAATTCATATTCCATAAATGCAATATTTATCATCGTACCCTGTTTTGACGAGTGTGGACGCGTATAATCATTATAAGATTTTTTTAAATTACTTGACTACCCCTTTAATGATTAATGTAAACATGCCTTTGTATAAATTACCAATTTACTTTTTATATTAGTTATATTAAAGCAGGTAGTTATTTTACATGAATAAAAAATACATTTTACATCAGAACATATTTATATACAACATATACATTCTAAACTTGTACTTTACAATTCTGTGGAATATGAAAAAAATCGTTTAAATGCAATTTAAAAGAACAGTGCCTTTTGTAGTGTTTTTGTTGTGAACATTTAAGCCTCTGCCAAGATCGGCAGCACTGCCACAGGAAAAATTAACATTAACAGGTACAAAAGTTGCTTGTGGAGGCTCTCAGTCGTACAGGAAAGTTCCATCGTAGAAAGGGTTCCGTCAGTCGTCATCTGTACCTGTGGGTAAAAAACAAAAAACAAAAAAGGACGTTTCGCTTCTCTCACAGAAGCTTCGTCAGCGGTAGACAACTCTGAAGTCTCCGTGAAGACTCCGGGAAGTTGCTCTGCGCTAAAAAGGTACAAAAGTCAAAGTAATAGGTTATAAGGAAAAAAAAAAAATATATATATATATATATTTTTTTTTTTTACACAAATAAGAATCAATGTGATGGATGTTACCCTCCCTCAGTGCATACAACATACACGGCCTCAGACGTTTCTTTTATGTTGAAGTATAGTACCGGAAGTTAATGCTTTTACTTTTTAATGATGCTGCCGGAAGTAATTTTGTAAAGCGAACGACGAGCTCTGCTGTTGAGATATACAGCTCTTTTGTCATATTTTGCTTTGTTGGGCATACTCCAAGTGAACCACTGAGGGTGAGTTAAATAGGATCATAACTGTTGATCTTAAATGTTGTTAGTAGTTTGTCAACTCGTATATAGGTACCAGACAAAGTCAGCCAGTGGCTTTGGTGCTAACATCGTGGGTAAACTATGGGCATTTGTTGTTAGGCTAACATGAGTTAACCAGACCCAGTAACTAGCGCAATAATGTTCAGACATTATGAGAACATACTTTTATGATTCTAATCTAGTTGACCATAAAAATACAAAAAAGTATTTTGTAGTGGCTAAACATTGAAACGGCAATTTTCATTTTACAGGACAATTTCAATCAATGACCTCTTGATTTAACTGATTTTGCTAAACATGCAGTTCCTTGAAGAAGTTTGTCGTATTCTCAAAGTACAGGTATTCGTTTTTTTCGATAGTTTGCCCACTTAAATGTTTAAGATGATCAAACAAACGTAAATATTAAGATTACCCGAGTAATATAAAGTTTTATATTGTATTCTGTACTGTGTACAGTTCATTTTTTAAATGTATTTTGTGTATGCACATATTTTGTTTTTCTACATTCTTCCCTTCAAACTGTTGCTGCTGGATATTGCTGATTTCTCCATTGTGAGACCAATGAAGGTTTTCCTATCTGATCTTAAACCTACAATGCAGTTTTTACATGGTTTTTGGCCAGAGGGGTGTATGTGTAATGAAACCCAATGACGTGTTCAGCGTTGACCTTCCACTTGCAGTCCTCGTTAAACTTTGAAGTGTGTATGTCTCTAGCTGTCTTCAAAATGATCATCCCAGTGCGGTGCTTCACATGTGGAAAGATCGTGGGTAACAAGTGGGAGATGTACCTTGGCTTGCTCCAGGCCGAGTACACTGAGGGGTAAGAAAAACAAATCTAAAGAAAGTTATTCAAAGTATTTTATCTTCTTCACAAATATCTATGAAAGAAGTCAGACTTGAATTACCGGTACTTAAATGATATGTATGTTTAATTCTGTGATAGAATTATTTCCAGCCAGCTTTGTTAGGAGTACGTTATAAAGTTGATTAAATCTACCCCTTTCCGTTCCCCGATTCAGCGATGCTCTTGATGCCTTGGGCCTGAAGAGATACTGCTGTCGAAGGATGCTCCTGTCACATGTGGATCTTATTGAGAAGTTGTTAAATTATGCCCCCCTGGAAAAGTAACTGCAACTGGCCTCCTTTAAAAAGAGTGTTTTTGTTTGGTTCCTTCTCCTTTACTTTGATGCAAAAGGAAAACAATGTTACTTTGAACACAATACTTTTTATTTTTTTTTCCTTTCAATAAAGCGGATAAATGGCACATTGCCTTTTATTGTGTTGTACTGTATGTGCTGTTGTAGCCATCAAAGAGGACTTGTACGAAAGCAAAGGATAGGCATCAGATTAAATATTATATACATTTTACTACCATTTACGACTGAAAAATTCTGTTTGTTGTAAATGTTACAAAATCAACTCATAATGGTCAAAACAAAAAGGCAATCTTAATACTTTTGTCATCTTAAACTTGTGAAGTGACTGTTACTAAGCTGCTTTTCCATTTCTCAGCAAGAATTGATGGGTTGGACTTAATTTTCTTACAGTTGGCCTGTATATGTGTATGTTTAGTTTTGAGTCCGCAGCTTCCAATGCTCCTTTTTTCAATTTCCTGATTTATAGATTTGAACTTGCTCAAAATGGGGGAAAAAAAATCTTACAAGCCTGACAAACCCATTCAGATGTTTGGGGGATTGTTTTATATTACAAAAGACAATGACGACACTGTGTTAAATACATTTAGAGGTGTCTTGCACATGCAAGGATTCCAATCTGAATGACTATCCACACAGTATTTCCTTTGAACAATTCAAAGGCCCGTTAAGAGCAGAATGAAACAATACAGACTTCTGGAGATACATACATCTTCAGTCTTTTTACAAGGTTGTGTCGGAACAAAAGGCTTTATCCTTCGTGCATGTCAACGGGAGTGTAAAAGGAAATCAGCATACTTTCATAAAAAACAAACAGGAAAAAAAACGACTAAAAAAATAAAATAAGGGTAGAGTATTCCGCCCCCTTCAAAATTGTTTCAGCATTATGCTTAAAACATCGTTTTCCTCAAAATTCAACACTCCCCGTTTTTCAAATGAATAAAACTTAACTCAGGTTCTTCCATATCTTGATACATTTGAGTCTCAAAGGCACAATATCAAGCTTTTGACTTGACTAAGCATTTCAGAAACAAACCCAAACAATGGGGTAAGAAGGAACTTTGAGACAAAACCTCTTCAAATTGTTCAGATATACTTGTTGAGCTGCGACGCCCTTATGTAGACAGGCAAATCACATTTGGTTAATTTTTTTTTTTAAAGGTGGACTCTCATTAAGGCTTACAAATATTTCAAAGTTGACCAAGAAGGATATGGACCAGAGTTAAATTTCAAGACAAAGCAAATTATCGAAATTCATTGACAATTCAAGTTTCATGAAAAAAAAGGAAACATTTTCAAACTCGGCTTCTGCTTTTTTTAAACTGAACACGGTGTTGAAATTATTTCGGTAAGAAAATTAAACCAATTAAGCATAAAAACAAAACATAACAATTGAAGGGGTCTAAATACTTTCTGAAAGCAACTGTACAACGCTAATCCTTGGTGGCATTTCATTACATGTTGCAAGTTGCAATTTCAAGTGACATCATGACATAAAATTAAACGCAATTTTCTGGTGGCAGAATCATCAATAAACCACACAGTCACTGTACAGACGGGGCGTAGCAGTTGGTCATTGTTGGTTTTGATGGCGGTCCAAGTGTGACAGTGGCTCACGAGGATTTGCTGGGTACAATCTTACCAAGTCAGCGATAGCGTTCTCTGTAATCTCTGTGCCTGTCCCGTGAACGCTCCCTGTCCCTCTCTCGACTCCAAGAACGTTCTCTGTGCCTCCGAGATGTTCCAGCACCTTCCCAGCGAGGTGGCGAACTCTCTCTATGGCGCTCCCTTTCCCTTTCCCGCTCTCGATCTCTGTCCCGGTCTCCAGAATGACTGCCACTCCTAGAGAAATCATATGACATTGAAGAATTAAGATTGGCTTCTCGATGTTTGGTTCACTGAAAATCAACTCCGGTGTAATCACTGTCGCGACTAACGGTGCAGTTCATATGTCCAAGGGCGAATGCTATGATCCGACTTTCCGAACTTAATGCATCAAGCAAGCAAATCAGAACCACTTTAAGAGGGGGGTCTTGGTCTGCTTGCTTTTAAGGAATTCAAGGAATTTTAATCGTCATACCAACAGTCATTTCCACATGGTATGGTATAAAACAGCAGTCTCCAACCCCCGGGCCGCAGACCGGTACCGGTCCATGGGTCATTCAGTACCGGGTCACAAAGAAAGAATAAAAAACTTACATTACTTCCGTTTCATTTATTTCGGAATCTGAAAGATGTTTTATTTTGATAAATTAGCGGATTCTCTTGTTACATCCGTCTCGATTGTGTCACTCTTGACACAGGTCAAGGCGCGCTTCTCAGTCAGGTGACAGGTTACCACTAAAATGAAACCCAGGAGCTAGTAAAATGAGTAAAAAACAAACATCTTTGGGAAAGGGAAAGGCCCATCTTGGAGATAGAAGAGGAGCCTATGATTTTCAAGAAAAAGAACCCTACATTTCATAGACAGTATCCGGAGTGTGACCTAAAATATGGATTTATTTCAGTGGGAGATTCCCATGCACCAAGCCCACTCTGCATAATATGCGGTGATGGTGAGTCGTATTTTTCATGCACTTTGTATTTGCGGTGTATCTTATTTTGAAGGCACATTTCAACATTACCATAGCGATCAGAGAGTGTTGCTCGTGTCATGATTCGCGTTTATTATTATGTTTAGAAAATACCACAGTTTTCATGCAGGTCATATCATTATATTTTGTTGTATTTATCTGGCACAGCTTAAAGGCCGCTCCCTGAAAATATTGTCTGACATTAAATTGGTCCGTGGGGCAAAAAAGGTTGGGAACCGCTAGTATAAAATACAATACCCAAGATCCCAGGTTATCCAGCGGAGTCCCAAGATTTGTGAAAACAAAAACTGAACACGAAAATAAGATGGTATACATACATACATACATACATATTATATATATATTAGAGCTGTCAGTTTAGCGCGTTTTTATTGGCATTAATTTAAATGAATTTTAACGGGATTAAATTTTTTTCTCCGAGATTAACGCGGCACACGTCACAGCGGATGTTACGTTGCTCTATAAATAAACCAGAAACAAAACAACAAGCGCGCTGCATAGGTCCACGCACGTTTGTTTTGCCAGCCACGGCAGCGCGAGACACCGAAAACGGACACTTAAAGAGTTTATGAATGGAAAGTTTACTTTTAAAAAGTTGCCAGATTGCTCCACTAACAAGACCAAAGTTACCTGTATCATACAGGTATACGATTTATGCCACTGACGCGATTGTTACTTGTTTGGAACTATTTTGTGTGGAAGGTTAGTGTTCCGTGTCCATATAAATAGAGCGGGTGGAGCTTC